GCTCCCACTGCACTGACCACAGGGGCGGAAGACTCATTGCTGCAGGCAGCTTAAGTCCACCAGGAGCTTCAGCCGTCCCTCTACAGGTAAAGACTTGGACTCACTGCGGAGGACCACAGTATGTGGGTCTAGGATGCAGGCCTTCACTTTTGCCTGGGAGGGCTTTGCACTCAGCTTCTGCCTCATCTCACCTCATACATGCCTCCCTCTACCATGTAAACAAGGCATCAGTTGAACAGACTTACCACCTTAGGCTGAGACAGGAAACTTGTATCTGACTGCTTAACATTCCCACCTGTCCAATAGCCGATTTCATTAGGATCTGGCTCAGAACGAACTGTGCTGTTTAAATTCTGGTTATGTTAGCCATTTAATTGATTTTCCACTTTGCATTTATGGGATTGACTGAGGGGCCAGTGGCCATTTCACTTTGATTACTCAGCCATTTATGCAGCATTCATATTATGCCAACGTTGATCCCCTGCTTAGCTAGCTGCTCCGGGCATATTAACCTGTTTTCCCCCCAATATAAAAGTGGCTGTATATTCAGTGACCTTATTTGAATAAGCCACATGTTCCTTATAACAGTTGTATATCTTTTCTCCCACAATTGGTCACAGGAACCATACTCACTCCTAGTGGCCACAGGTGCTCCGGAACAGGACCAGCAATCCCAACCTGTCAAGGAAGCAAGAAAGATTCCAAGGCACTCAAAATGTGAAAGCCGCAGGCAGGTTTATTGCAACAGAATAGACGGCAACGTTTCAACCTACTAAGAGGTCTTTTTCAAGCTTGAAAAAGAACTCTTGGTAGGTCGAAACGTTGCAGTCTATTCTGTTGCAATAAATCTGCCTGCGGCTTTCACATTTTGAGTGTCTGGGAATCTTTCTTGCTGCCTTTTCTCCCACAATGTCATGTCATGAGCTATAATAAAAATGTCACAAACGTTCTTTTGCATGTTAGGTATTATCTATGCCACAATAAAAACTGATTTGAGGGAGGGGAAATCCCCCCCCCAAAAAGACGTCATCCTGTCAGCTTACCTTTTTTCTGGCTTAAGTGCTTGGGCCACACGATTGGCAAATTGCAGCGGTTCAGCCGGACACAAATTGTGAAATGCTGCTCTACTTTAATTAATCTGTCCTTTTGCAAGTGTTGGTATTTCTACATTCAATTTTTGCTCATTCTGATCTAATTTATTGACTGATCCTCTAACCAACAGCTTTATTATGCTTATTTGCAAACACTATATGTTGAGATCTAGATTGTAAGCTCATGGAGCAGGGCCCTCCACCCCTTTGTTCCTGTACATCCAATTGTCTGGTTACAATTACATGTATGTTAGTCCACCCATTGTACAGCGCTACAGATAAAATAATGTGTAGCAAATTAAATAATTTAGCCTCTGGCAAAATAACACATTGTAATGATATATATATATTTTTTTTAAACTAGCTTTAAAAATGAAGTACTGTTTGTAAAGTTCACCTGTATTTGATTTTCACTCAAAAACCAAACTATTCTCAACTGACAACACGACCCATTTATCAAGTGCACCCAAATCAAAATTCTTTACTACCAGATCACTTATTTGTTGCTTCTGATTTAACAGTTTCTAAAACCAGTTTCCCTAGGTCAGGATTTATTATTTTAACTTGTAGACTATGGCACAACAATGGTGAATTTCTCCGCACAAGGGCTAGTTTCACTCACAAACCCCCCTCCCCCCCAAAACCTAGAGGAAATTTTGAGCCATACCCTAGGTCAGGAATAGACAACCTTTGGCACTACATCCCCCATTATGCTCTTACAACCATAATGCTGGCAAAGCATCATGGAAGGTGTAGTCCAAAACATCTGGAGTGCTGACAGTTGCCTATGCCTGCCCTACGTTATCGACAGGCTCCTCATGCCTATTAAATGTCTCCACATTAAAAGAACACTATAGCATTTGGAAAGCAAACATTCATAAGGCCATGGTATGCTGAGCTTATCAAGGTGCCCCCCACCGTGAGTGTTTGAAAGGTATTACATTTCAGTCATTGTCACAATGCTTTCCTTGTCCTACTTCTATGGTCAAGATCATCGTTTATGATCTCATGTAATCAATGTTTACCTTTAGGGAAGCATTGGGAGGTTAGTGCACATGCACAGCAAATGAGCAACATTTAGATTTAAAATTCTACTACAGCAGAAGAAGCCCCTCTAGTGGTCATCTACCTGACAGCAACTAGAGGCTTGTTAACCATGCAATGTTAACATCTCTGTTCATATATGTTAGCAATGTTTTTACATTGCAGACTTCAAAAGAGGCACTGCACCCCAGATCACTTCATTAACCCCTTAAGGACGGAGGGCGTACTATTACGCCCTGCAGGAGCCGGCTCTAAACGCAATAGTACGCCCTCACTTTAATGGCCGGCGCTAGTCGCCCGCTGCAGATCGCGGTCGGGGGGGATGCCTGGCCCCCCAGGCAACCCCCCCTGTGGCCGGTGACCGCGATCTGCAGTCACTGATCGCAGTGACAGGCTGTCACTGCGATCAGTTTTTAACGTGTGTCAGCCGATTTCAAATCGGCTGACACACATGGCCAGCGGCTACCCCGTGCAGATCGCGGTCGGGGGACTTACCTGGCCCCCCAGGCAGTCCCCCTGGGGTCAGTGACTGCGATCTGCACCTTCTGAGATCGCAGTGACAGGCTGTCACTGCGATCTCAGAGCGCTCTGATCGCAGTGACAGCCTGTCACTGCGATCAGTGTTACATGTGTCAGCCTATTGGCTGACACATGTAACTGGCACACAGATCCCCCTGCAGATTGGAAGGGGGGAGTGCTTGTACCACCCAGGCACTCCCCCCTGTGGCCAATTACCCAATCTGCAGGAGGTGATCACAGTGACAGGCAGTCACTGTGATCACTGATCCTGTGTGTCAGCCAGTGATGTGAAATCACTGGCTGACACTGTCTCTGCCCCCTGTCCTGTAATAAAAATAAAATATTAGTTAAAAAAAAAAAAAAAAAATTACAGTTACAAATAAAATATACTTAGATCATATATATATATATATATACACACACACATATATATATATATATATATATATATATACACATACATACACACATTTACACATACACGAAGTGTATTTAAATATTAATATATATAATTATTTATATATATATATATTACTATCAAATTACACGTAGACTAATACTGATTAAATAAATATATATATATATATATATATAATTATTGTTATATATATTTATATATAATATAAAAAATGTAAATACGTTAAAAAAAAATTTAAAATAAATAATAAAAAAATATATAGATGTTTGTTATTTCGTTCTAACTGTATTGTGATATTAATATATATATATTTATATCAAAAAACACGTAGAACGAAATATATATCTATATACATAAATATATACATATATATCACTAAATATATACACCTATATATAAATAAAAATATTTAAAAAAATTATATATATATATATATATATATATATATACACACACACATATGTATATATATATACACACATATTAATTCTACACATATATTTATGTAATATTTTTACATAATTAGGTATCCTAATTAATTACAATTAGCAAGACCTGCCTGACAACCCATGCCGAAAGTATAGGGAATTTAATTTGCTAGCACTATATTTAACCCTATAACTTTCCAAGACACCATAAAACCTGTAAATTGGGGGTACTGTTTTACTTGGGAGACTTCGCTGAACACAAACATTAGTGTTTCAAAACAGTAAAATGTATTACAACAATGATATCGCCAGTAAAAGTGAAGTTTTTTGCATTTTTCACGCACAAACAGCACTTACACGGATGATATTATTGCTGCAATACTTTTTACTGTTTTGAAACAAATATTTGTGTTCAGCGAAGTCTCCCGAGTACAACAGTACCCCTCATGTACAGGTTTTATGGTGTTTTCAAAAGTTACAGCGTCAAATATAAGGCTTGTGTTTCATTTTTTTTTCACATTAAAATTCGCCAGATTGGTTACGTTGCCTTTGAGACCCTATGGTAGCCCAAGAATGAAAATTACCCCTATGATGGCATACCATTTGCAATAGTAGACAACCCAAGGTATTGCAAACAGGGTATGTCCAGTCTTTTTTAGTAGCCACTTAGTCACAAACACTGCCCAAAATTGGTGTTTTTTTGCATTTTTCACATAAACAGATACTAACGCTAACTTTGGCCAGTGTTTGTGACCAAATGGCTACTAAAAAAGACTGGACATACCCCATTTGCAATACCTTGGGTTGTCTACTATTGCAAATGGTATGCCATTATGGGTGTAAATTTCATTCCCGGGCTACTATACAGTCTCAAAGGCAACGTAACCAATCTGGCGAATTTCAATTTCAAATGTAACGTGCTATATTTGACCCTGTAACTTCCCAAAACGCCATAAAACCTGTACATAGGGGGTACTGTCTTACACGTGAGACTTTACTGAATACAAATATGTGTATTTTATTGCAGTAAAAGCAAACAGTATTATGACACTGACCGTTAAAATGTCATGTAGAACTAAAAAAATCAAAAAAAATCTTATTTTCTCCCATTTTTTCATATTAAATTATGTTTCATAGCTAAATATTTGATATTAAATGAAAGCCCTGTTTCCCCTGAATAAAATGATATATAATAAGGGTGGGTGCATTTACTATGAAAGAGGTGTATTACGGTTGGACAGACATGTAGCGCAAATGCCAGGTTTTGTTTACATTTTGTTTCGTTCACAACGTGTACATTTGGCTCCGTCCTTAAGGGGTTAAGGAGAAATGGCCCAGGGGCTTTTAGCATCCCTTTAATTAAAATGTCCACTAATCAAAGTCTTACCCAGATAAACAGCTTGTCAATTTGTAGATCTTCCTCAAAATAATGTTAATGTTCTGAGTGCCATGTGTTTGTGCCTATACCACAGAACAGGTAGAACAGCTCAATGTATCTTTTCAAAAATACATAACCAAGAGGAAACAGTTTAAAGTTTTTATTTTACAGTCAGAGAATCAAGATGTTGTCCCTTGGGTATCTCCAGTCTGTCCAAAACCCATCCTTTGTAAGCACAGCAAAATCTGAAGCAGAAAAGAAATAAAAAAATCAACTTTACAATATAATCTATTTTTCACATCTTGAAAGACAATAAAGGGACATTATGAACCACAGCCTCTACAGCACACTGCACCATTCCACGTTAGGTCATTTTTGAGAGAACAGTCTCGCACTCTGTTTCCCAGGGCGCTGGCAGTCACTAGATATAAAAAGCAGATGTTTTTATTCTGCTTTAGTAATATCAATTTTGGTTGAAGTTGACAAGATTATTGAGTGGCACAATGCACTATAGTTATTGTGGTGCTTAGAGCGTCCTTTTAATGCACTAATTTCAAAGACTGCCCCACAGACTTTACTGAACTACAACTCCCATGATGCAATTTATTGCAGTCAAAGAATTATGGGAAATGTAGGCTATTAACATTTGACTGCCCCAGAGTTTGAGATGCCTGCTTTAATGGATTATTTTACAAAGATTTGAGAAGTGATCAACACAATTTTTTTTTTAAAAACACATGCAGAAATAAGATTATATATAAAAATGTATGAGATTATTAATTTAAACTTTGCATGCAGATTGAGCTCTATATTTTAGGAAAAACAGACTAACATCTAAAGAGACAGATGGGTGAAAAAACCTTTAAAGTGAAACTATAAGCATTAATACAGCTTTAGCTTAATGGAGTTTTGGTGTATAGAGAATGTCCCTTCAGTCCAACTGCTAAATCAGCTATCATGTGTTAAATCTATTTATGCATCCCCAGCATGTGACATACAGCCCCCATACCCATTTCTTGTAAAGATATAGGTTTACAGTTCCTTTGTTGCACAAAAAACAGATTTTTGTTAATGTGTTGGGTATACATATAGGACATCAAAGAAAAGCCATTTCAGTCCTTTACAAAAATAGAAAATATGTAGGAGTGCATATAAAGAGAACCCTTAAATGATATTGTAACATAGCACACATTCTAGGTATTGTTTTTGTTTAAACTTTGTACAACTGCGTTAGTCCTTAAGCTTAAGGAGTTATATAATGCAGTGGGGTTTGGGATCTTAGAGCATCTGTTTTAAGAGACTAACAGAACTCATTCTGCTAGGTCTTGGCTGTAAGAATTATGTTCTTGGCTGTAAGAAGTATGAAATGTTTGTTCATTTTCTTTATATGACATTCAGAATTAAAGACTCCTCTTTGTGAGACTGTGTGCTAAAGTCACATAACTGAATTTGTAAATTAACCAACAAACCAAGATTGTCATTACCAGTCACGTTAGCGTAATCTCCTAGCTTCACGCTCAGATTCCAAAAGTGTGAGTACATCTCCCTCTCGGACAGGCCCCTTTACATTTCTAATGATTGAGCGGTTGCTGTCATCCATGAATTCTACACGAACCTGGGGATACAATTCACACAGATTACCCGGAGATCAGATATGTGACTACGAAGAGAAAACATAAATACAAAAATAAAACACCTAGGTGCAAAAATCAAGTATGCTTAAAGGACCACTATAGAGCCAGGAAAACATACTTCTGCATTAGCAATATCGATTTTGTGCAACGCCGGACATTTGCTGACGGCTGCACCTTGAAGGAGAAGTCTACCTTTCTCACGTTAATCTGACTATTCCCTACTTTAAGTTACGCATGTCTTGAAACCTCTGGTATATCAGTAATAATGCAAGGGAATGAAAATTAAGCTTTTAAGTTTTAGCATTGGGTAAAAAAAAAAAAAGTCTACTTAAGGATTTTAAAGTTACTATAAAAAGAGTCGTTAAGTACTGTAATTACTCCTCTATGATTAATAAGTCAAAATGGATCATCACCTGGGTACACTGTCCTTGAGATCCTGTTCTTCCCAGGACTTTGGTAACCTGAAAAGATAAATATTCATGATTATATGTTTGTAGAACTGTTTGTGCACAACACACCTGCTGACCAATAACAGAAATTTAATTAGGTATGAAGTTATGTTGTCATGGGATTTGCAGTGAGATCTGTCCGAACTAGGGAGTAGTTGACATATCAGTGGGTCCTAACCATCCCATAAACGCATGAAAAACTGAGGTTATGGGATGTGCAGTTCGGCACCAGGTAGTTCCATTCATTCTACAATAAAAATGAAAGTGCAGCTCAAGCAGTCGGCAACTTAGCCAGAGCTGCATTTGAGTTTAGAAAGCCGCAACTGAACTGCATTCTGAGAAACAGAAGAGACATGCCATGCATGTGCTAGAACAGTTAGTAGGAATGTTTTCTGACATATGATTTGAGTAACAGGAGCTTATAGCATATATAAATAGAAATAAAAGTTAACTGGTCATTCCAGGTAACAAAACAACGTAATCTAAATTAAGGTGTTACAGTGCTAAGAGGGCCCCAGAGGCACGCTTACCTCAAGGTAATTGCCTCCAGCGACAACATCCACTCCACCAGAGGCGGCATTTGGCCTCTGAAAATCATTGGAGAAACTGTTCCGAGAACAGTTTACCTCCTTGAGGTAAGTGTCTCTTGGAGCCTCCGGGCACTATAACAACTTCATTTAGATTAAGTGGTTCTGGTGCCTGGAGTAACCCTTTAAGTACTATAACATTTTGTATCGCCTTGGATTAATAAAATGTGAAGATGTACGGAACTACCGTGTATCAATACTCCTCCACTCATGGAGTAGATAAAATGCACCATATAAGATGGTACTTTGTGCTATAATTTTGTGCTATTGATTTTAATGTTACAAGTTGCGTGGAAGATTGCAAGCTCACTTTGGAGTGAGGCCTAGTGTATGTTGTGTTTGGGAGAATTTCAGCTTAGCAGGGGTAAAAAAAAAAAAAAAAAAGGTTTTCCCAAAAGTAATAAAACCAATTAACAACAGCCAACATTAACAGTTTAAAACTTCTCTAAAGAATGTGTGATTACTTGGAGGCTGAACCACTGAAGTGAGAATACAAAGTGAATTTTAGACTTAAGGCCAAAAGCATAGTTGGCTTAGAGAATGTTCCCATTTCGGCTCTTTTTACCTTAAATTTAAAATCCACTTTGAATCCTCATTTAGTGAATAACCCTGATATTCCAGGTCTATATTCAACCATTTCTATACAGACTGCCTGTGCTATCCTAGTTCCTGGAATAGAGGAGGCCTGGGGTGAGATGCTGCAAGCCTGCATGGCAGTGAAGCTTTATTGTTCAGTTTGATACATAGTGCTAGAGTGGGGTACAGTCAGGGGATCACTGTGAGAGGCCCCCCCGGGCTCAAACATGTTACCCCCTGAAACAAAGTGAATCTAATCTGATGGGAGAGCCAGAGCCAAGGCCCAGGGTCCATGCATCATGTCTATTGCACACATTTAAACCCAGATCTCTCCCCCTAGGGTCACAATAAGAGATCCCTGTCCCCTCCCGACCCCATCCCGCTACCGCTACCCGGGCCCCATGACACCCGACACACAGTAACTATGGAACATGCGGCAATTACCCGGGCGAGCTTGATGGGCTGCACGCGGCTAGCTTCCATTATGGCTGCTGGAGTCAGAAGAGGGGTCACGTGGTTCAGTCGCCACCTTTTATAGGTTCAGGGCGGGGCTTCGCCATCGAGAACTGAATCGACCAATAGGAACCGATCCGTCGCCATTTTAGAATGCGACCGCTTCCTTCCTTCTGCTTCATGTTGAAAGCTGGAACCTAAGACGCCCGGAAGTGCTCCGAGCCATATTGAAAACGGGCAATTGATGTCCTGAGAGCTTTTTTTTTTTTTTTTAAATAAATAATTGTAACTTTATTGCGATTTTTTTTATTTTTTTTTACACAGATTAATTGTTTGAAGCTTATAATGTCGCTTGTGATGTGGCGCTTGACTTTACTGCTATTCACCTGTGCTTCCTAAATATTGTCTTGTTGTATTTGTTTGCAATTATAAATTGACACTTTCCTCCTCCCACAGTACTAGGTAGCACCTCCCCTGTCCTTGACCAGAAAGATGGCGACTGCAACCAAATTCATCCAGAGGTTAAGGAATTGGGCGTCTGGGGTAACATTCTATTACATTTTATACATTAATATATTAATTAATTATCTGTATGGTTAAACATTGTTAATATTTTAATTGTTATTAACCAACCTCAGACATTGTGCTAATTATTATTTGATTTCATTACTTAGTAACATATAGAATGACAAAAGACAACCCTGCAAAGTATTCTGTAACTGTCATTTTCCCCTAACTTCAACCAAACACTACCTAGTTCTGAAATGGAACACTATTCTTGACAAGAGGTAGTGAACGTATTGTATATTGTATAGTGATCAGTATTGGAATCCCTCTGGAATCTGAATCTCAACACCTGTTTTGGGACCATATTTAATAGAGAGAGATGATTGCCCATAGACTTGCGCACAAAAGCCTTTCAGGTGGGTTGAACGAATCAGACACATTTAATCTATGCTCGAACATAGATTGATCTGGATTGAATAAGATTCCACAAGTTAATCCTGAATGGAATGATTTGTTCGGGCATAGATTAAAAGGAATTTAATTTGTACAACCCATCTGAAATGCATTTTTACGCAAGTCTAGTTCCCAATGTTGCAAGACTGAGGGATAGTTATCAGTACAATGTTGTTGGTGATTCCATTGGTTTCCATGGTGACTGCTCACTGTTAGAACATTACACAGCTTTTCACAGTACAGCACTTAGAAAAATCTCATTCATCAGACCCCAGGCAACTGAACACAACATATTGCACTACCTTCCACAGTGCAGTGGAAATTCTTCTGACACTTGGAAAGGTCTAATGAGCGTGTTTTGCAAAACACGCTCATGTATTTTGTAATAATTAATCACCTAGTACATATAACACCATGTGAACAAACCATGGTAACCTTCTCCCCCACCACTGCTAACAACAAGAAGTTCCCCATGCTGTCACTGCAGTAGGGACAGTGTGGGAAGCATGTCCAGTGGCAACCCACTTCAAACACGGGTAACCGGTACACCACATGCAATTTGTTACTGGCATAATAAGTTTGTTTACTTCTTTAAACTAGGGAGTAAATAGTAAGTAATATGTAAATGATATGCTATATAAAAAAAAAAAAAACTGTTATTCTAAACTTTATGTAACATTAAAGTGCCACTGTCACTGTTTGGGGATTTTGCTGAATTCGTAAAGTCCCTCAATGGTGACATTGCCGCTGGGGATCTGGTGCATGGGGGCAGGCAGGGTCAGGTAAAAGTTTATTTACCTGAACCTGTCCCTCACAGGTGCAGCCATCTTGATCCAGTGGGTCCCCTTCAGAGCCGATGTCACTGCTGTACTCTTGCGCATGGGTAAAACATTAAAATCTATAGAAAATCCCACAGGATGCCTCATAGACACAGCCAATTCCCTGCAGTCTCCACTGGTGACAGCTGTTGAGATTGATTCTTAGACTCCGCCCTGAGTCTATGAAATTCCAAAACAGTCAAAATGAATATTTCAAATAGATTCTGCCTTTTCTTAAATACTTTGTTTTTTGGGGGGCGGGGGTGGTGGGGTGACCATGCTGTTGAAGCTTCTCATTGATTTCCAGATATTTTTTTTTTTTTTTCACCTCAAATAATGTGTTTTTTGTTTTTCTTGTAGCAAAATCTTCAGGGTAAACTACAACTGCGTTATACTGAAATCGCAAAAAGGTAAAGGCTTATCAGAAAAGAAGGCTGTTATTATTATATTAAAAAAAGTTTTTTTGCGGAACCCATTAGCTATCTTAATGTTAGCTACATATGTTTTTTTAAAGTAAACCATTTTAATTTAAATTATATTCCTGGCTGTACCGGCACACTAAAGCATGCTATGCAATTGAATATAACCCACAATGCTGTTCATGCAGGCATGGCACTATTGGAGGAATAAAACCAAACCGATTACTCTTGGCTATCATATTCATCACCCCAAATGTATAAACAAATCCAAAAGAAAGTTACATGTGCACTCTCCCAAATACCCATGCACATTTCATTAAGAGAGCATTTGCAATGGTACTAAAAACTTATTATAATATGGCAGTATATTACGAATGTATTTGCATGGCATTTCTTTGCAGGTGTGCTATGTGGCAATAACCTCACGCTACACGTGGAAGTGCTGCAGAGGAACCTGTGTTTTATTACTGTTGTTGCATCTGTCATCTCAGTAATTGCTTTAATAGTGTTTTACTAAAGAAAAAGAACTATACAGTGTCACCTGCACAGAAATAATAGTTCTGCTTTAATGATCAGAAATGTATTTTGTGAATATGGAGGATAATAAAAAATAAAGGGAACACTTAAACAACACAATGTAACTCCAAGTCAATCACACTTCTGTGAAATCAAACTGTCCACTTAGGAAGCAACACTGAGTGACAATCAATTTCACATGCTGTTGTGCAAATGGGATAGACAACAGGTGGAAATTATAGGCAATTAGCAAGACACCCCCAATAAAGGAGTGGTTCTGCAGGTGGTGACCACAGACCACTTCTCAGTTCCTATGCTTCCTGGCTGATGTTTTGGTCACTTTTGAATGCTGGCGGTGCTTTCACTCTAGTGGTAGCATGAGACGGAGTCTACAACCCACACAAGTGGCTCAGGTAGTGCAGCTCATCCAGTATGGCACATCAATGCGAGCTGTGGCATTTTTTCTCCTCATTACGATCAGCGGCTATATGCTATGTTTGGAAAGGGGAGAGACCAAGGCTTCGACATGACTTGCTCTGCCTACCGAGATGCCGGGGTGGACTAGCGCTACCAGACTTTAAATGGTATCACCAAGCTACAGTCCTTCCGCGTATTCTGGAATGGCATGCTGGTACACACCGGAAACAATGGGTAGCCCTAAACAGAGACGGACAAGAAGCTCGTTTAAAGTCCAATATATGGATGGGGGGCCCCAGAGCCGGTGATAGAGAAGAGTCGGCCGGGATTATAGCCCAGACACTTGCCAGCTGGGCACTCATGAGGGACCAACCCCATATCTCCCCTATACCAAGCCCGTTGCTCCCCATCACTCACAACCCAGCGATAGGAGGGGGATTCCCGACGAGGGCATGACCCTTTGCGGATGGTCGCGAACATGTACCTATCTCCACGGTTCTGCGAGATGGCAACATACGATCTTTAGACTCCTTGTTAGGAGACCTTACCTGGTTTGAAACGAGATGCAAAAGAGGCTCATCATTGGATAAGACTATATCCACCTTCTACCAACATCTTATGGTGGGTAACGTAGCAGAAAACAACACTTTTCGCAGGCAATGGGAGACTGATGGATACCACCTTCACCCCCCAACAATGGGAGGGGCACTGCTCTGGCAACACAAAAGCTCCATTAGCACCCATTACCAAGAGACGAATTACAAACTAATCGCGCTATGGTATAGGATCCCGACACTACTCCACAGAATCTTCCCTACAACGCCACCAACATGTTGGAGATGTCTCAAAGAAAGGGGCACGACGATACACATATGGTGGGAATGTCGCCTCGTAGTCCCGTACTGGGAGATGATCAGAGAGAAAATAACCGGCGGCATTGCCCCTTCTACATATTTCAACACTGTCGATTGTCGCATACAAGAAATCAATTTTACGTAATTTACTTAATGCAGCCAAAGCTCTGATCCCGCTATACTGGAAAAGGACGGAGACGCCCCGAATGGAGGAATGGATCCGCAGGGTGGAGGACATTCAGGGGGAGGAGGCGATCCAGGCTTCACTACTCGGGAGGGTAGACAGGCACGCAGAAATGAGGCGACCATGGTTCACGTTCGTGTCCCAGAGCAGTCAGAGATAGGCAGCATGCGGGGGGACACCTTGGGGGGGAGGTTGGCTCACTGGAGCATGACCATTCACACCTGCTCTACCCTACCCAACTTGAACTACATCCGAGACAAGGGGCAACTCTTCTCCTCTTACCCTACTACTAAATACTTTCTAATTTCCACTTGTAACTCTTAACACATACACACGCTTATAAGATTAGGACATACACGCACCATGAGGAGGAACCTGCCTTGTAATAGGAAACACTCAGGTCGACTACGCACAACAAATTTGGTAACCACTCATCCCCGCTTATCGGGCCACTTAGAACGACTCACAAACATATGCACACCCCCTTTAGGGTAGGCTAGAGGGGGCTGCCCACCTAAAGAATGACCTTATACTCACTAGTAACGTCCACAGACCCATAACGATACATAAAGGGAGATGGGGACGATCACACGGAGCCTCCTGAAAACGAATTATCCCTGGCTCGGCTTAGAATACACCTTGAGAGGGCCCCAGTTAAATGTGCCACAAGAAGACCCATAAGTTGTAGGACACGTTCAGGAAAAGATATAACCAAAGGGGCGGCCAACAGTTCTACGCAACGGAGTCCGGGGGAAAAAGATAGTTTGGTACTATGTAGCGTGCTGACCATAACTGTGCATGTATTTACGGTTTTCAGGCCAGGCAGACCTGGATACATAACGTTAAAATGTCCGTTAAAAATTCCTATGTACATAACTGCGTTAAGTTATAAAACTTCTTGGACCTGCGCATCCACAATGTCACAACTTTTTACATCTGTTATTAACTGATATATAACTCACAAAATACCAATAAAAAAAGATTTACAAAAAAACAATGATATCATCAGTGAAAGTGCCGTTTGTTTGTGAAAAATGCAAAAAACTTCACTTTCACTGACAATATCATCGCTGTGATATGTTTTACTGTTTTGAAACACTAATATTTGTGTTTAGCTAAGTCTCCAAAGTAAAACACTACCCCCTATGTACAGGTTTTTGGGTGTCATAGAAAGTTACAGGGTTAAATACAGTGCTAGCAAATTAAATTCTCTGGATTTTCAGCCTGGGCTGTCAGGCAGGTCCCTCAAATTGCAATCAATAAAATTACTTAATTATGTAAAAATATGACATAAATATGCATGTAGAATTTAAATATGTAGATATATATATTTGAAGTCTACGTGTATATTCATGTAATTTTGTATGTGGATGGTTTTATATATATATATATATATATATAATATATATATATATATATAACCATCCACAATATCCTTGCACTCCAGCTTCAAAAAATCATTCAGACCGGGTGCTCAAAATCAGGGGAAATGTTACATACCAGTCTGTGTTGATCAGCACTCACGGATTTCCAAAGTCAAGTTAAAAAAACCAAAGTTTATTAATCCATTAAAAAAGAGCCTTTAATGGATTAATAAACTTTGGTTTTTTAACTTGACTTTGGAAATCCGTGAGTGCTAATCAACACAGACTGGTGTATGTATGTATATATGTATAAATATCAAAATACAGTTAGAATAAAATTACATATTTTTTTTTTTTTTTTTGTTAAAATTATTTATACATTTTATTTACTTATTTATAAAATCGTGTGTAATTTAATTCTGAGTGTATTGTTATATTAATATAAAAATACACTTGGTATGACATAATAAAAAAAATATATATACACACAAACATATAATTATATTTTTATTTATTAAAAATATTTTTATTTTATTTTACAGATGCAGGAATCTTCCTGCAGGGGGACTGCCTGAACTAATCGGCAGTCCCCCTGCAGGCAGATTCACGGACGTCTATTGCGGCTATGTGACCGCTTCGTAATAGTGATCACATGGCTGCGGGGGCCTAATTCACCGAGGGGGGACTGTCTGTGCTGTCAGGCAGTCCCCCCAGACCGGTAGCGGGGGAACAGCGGTGATCAGGTAAGTAAATATTACCGTTATGATGGTTCAGGACCGTCATCGATCCTCAAGGGAATGTTTCTGATGACAGTCCTGAACCTGGATTCCTTGGAGTTTGTTTGCTGGACAGCTTTGAACCACAACTCAGGAAAAGACGCAAAGCCAGTAAACCACTCACCAACAACTGGTAGGGGGTCTCTCTTTCACACTCCTGAACAACTCAGGGGGGGGTTCCTTCTTCCCCTCCCTTCCTCCCATTTATATTTAAAATATTATTCAAAGTATTGCTGGGGTAGCAGTACACTTTGTACTTTTGGTTTAGGTAGTCAAGATTCAGCAGGGTAAGGCATTAATGATCATCTGTTTTAGGACATTAAAAAAAAAAAAAATTTGGTTAGAGCAATAATGATGCTGAAATAAAGAGATTATGCTTTAAAAAAAACCTATGAGACTATGTTCAAGTTGCTGTAAAAGAAATCACTGCAATTTGCCCATGGTACAGTTCTACAATTCTTAAAATGCATTTTTTTAATTCTTGCCTTTCAGGACACCGCCACCTCCAAGTTTGCCAGTAGGACCCAGTCACAAATTAGCAGACAACTATTACTGTACAAGAGATGGCCGCAGAGGAACTATGCCCCCTACTGTCATAATGTCACCATTCAATGCCCTAACTCCTGGAGTTCCTGCAGCCAAGTTAGTATTTACTTTTTAAAAGAATTTGTACTATTATTTATATTTATATATCATTTTTTTTTTTTTTTCAATATTAGCGATTTAAATTATAGTATTACTGTTTGTCATATTACTTCTTTTTGTAATTCACAAAAAAAAGGAGTACATTATGTACTGTTTTGGGAGATTCACATGATGATTTTCACATCGGCTACTAGTTTTTAAAAACTGTAGGCGAGTACATCTATATGCCATCAGTATTTTCCCATAATGGGTAGTAGGTATGGAACAATATAGAACAAGTAAAGGGGGTGGAGCCGAGCCGACCTGCCAACTACACGAGAGCTCTGAGAAGCTGGCAAACTTAAACATCACTGTGGGGCATCTAAAACCCCCTTTACATGAATGAATGCTCCAAATCAGCAAGAGATACAGCATGGGTCACAAGACCAAAAAACAGAAGGCAGAGAAGCCACGTATAGCTACCGTGGCAGGCACATGGCGCAGCAGGGCCCAAGATGGCCTCCTATGCCAGATGAAGACATGGTAACTCCTCTGGTCACACACCTCCAAATGCGGAGGCTTCCTAGGTGACTACCGTGGTACAGAAGGAACTTCTTGCAGATCTCCAGAAGAATATGCTAACAAACATGGCGACACTCTGCACTGACATACAAGGCCTAACGGGCAGAACGGGGGCTCTGGAGACAACATCTGCCAACCACATGCTTCAAATTGTTGCATTGCAAACAGAGGTTGAAGTGCTACAATAATAAAATGAGCTGAACGAACGGCGCTTTGCAGCAATGGAGGACTCAAGATGCAGAAACAACCTGAAAATCCAGGGCATTCTAGAACACGTAATTAAATGACTAAAAGGCGCCTAACGATCCGGAAGTCCCTCTAGTGGGACACATACACACCTGTGTTAAATTTCTTGATTTTAGTAACTGCTTAGAAATAACCAGAAATAATAAACTAACTGATTGACTTGATATGTAATATTTGATGTAACACACATTTTACTAAATCACTGCATTTTGTGTCTTCCCAGTTCTGACACAGCAGTTGCAGTACCCACAAAAAAGCCAGTGACTCCTGGACCTCCACCTCCAAAATTGGAATTATCTACAGATGAGCCTTATCTGTGAAAATGTATAGGAGATATTTACTGTGACTGTGTATTCTAAGAACAATGGCCTCATTACTAAACAATTTGTGTAAATATACTCCAGTGGATGAAACCTTTTTGTTTCCTTGCTTGTTTTCTTTCCTATAGAGATAACTAAACTTATTAAAATTATATCACAGAGTTGGCAGTCTACCTATTATTTCCTTTTGAGACTTGGGAGTGTCTTCACTGTCGATTGTCGCATACAAGAAATCAATTTTACGTCATTTACTTAATGCAGCCAAAGCTCTGATCCCGCTATACTGGAAAAGGACGGAGACGCCCCGAATGGAGGAATGGATCCGCAGGGTGGAGGACATTCAGGGGGAGGAGGCGATCCAGGCTTCACTACTCGGGAGGGTAGACAGGCACGCAGAAATGAGGCGACCATGGTTCACGTTCGTGTCCCAGAGCAGTCAGAGATAGGCAGCATGCGGGGGGACACCTTGGGGGGGAGGTTGGCTCACTGGAGCATGACCATTCACACCTGCTCTACCCTACCCAACTTGAACTGCATCCGAGACGAGGGGCAACTCTTCTCCTCTTACCCTACTACTAAATACTTTCTAATTTCCACTTGTAACTCTTAACACATACACACGCTTATAAGATTAGGACATACACGCACCATGAGGAGGAACCTGCCTTGTAATAGGAAACACTCAGGTCGACTACGCACAACAAATTTGGTAACCACTCATCCCCGCTTATCGGGCCACTTAGAACGACTCACAAACATATGCACACCCCCTTTAGGGTAGGCTAGAGGGGGCTGCCCACCTAAAGAATGACCTTATACTCACTAGTAACGTCCACAGACCCATAACGATACATAAAGGGAGATGGGGACAATCACACGGAGCCTCCTGAAAACGAATTATCCCTGGCTCGGCTTAGAATACACCTTGAGAGGGCCCCAGTTAAATGTGCCACAAGAAGACCCATAAGTTGTAGGACACGTTCAGGAAAAGATATAACCAAAGGGGCGGCCAACAGTTCTACGCAACGGAGTCCGGGGGAAAAAGATAGTTTGGTACTATGTAGCGTGCTGACCATAACTGTGCATGTATTTACGGTTTTCAGGCCAGGCAGACCTGGATACATAACGTTAAAATGTCCGTTAAAAATTCCTATGTACATAACTGCGTTAAGTTATAAAACTTCTTGGACCTGCGCATCCACAATGTCACAACTTTTTACATCTGTTATTAACTGATATATAACTCACAAAATACCAATAAAAAAAGATTTACAAAAAAACAATGATATCATCAGTGAAAGTGCCGTTTGTTTGTGAAAAATGCAAAAAACTTCACTTTCACTGACAATATCATCGCTGTGATATGTTTTACTGTTTTGAAACACTAATATTTGTGTTTAGCTAAGTCTCCAAAGTAAAACACTACCCCCTATGTACAGGTTTTTGGGTGTCATAGAAAGTTACAGGGTTAAATACAGTGCTAGCAAATTAAATTCTACAATAATAAAATGCTACAATAATAAAATGAGCTGAACGAACGGCGCTTTGCAGCAATGGAGGACTCAAGATGCAGAAACAACCTGAAAATCCAGGGCATTCTAGAACACGTAATTAAATGACTAAAAGGCGCCTAACGATCCGGAAGTCCCTCTAGTGGGACACATACACACCTGTGTTAAATTTCTTGATTTTAGTAACTGCTTAGAAATAACCAGAAATAATAAACTAACTGATTGACTTGATATGTAATATTTGATGTAACACACATTTTACTAAATCACTGCATTTTGTGTCTTCCCAGTTCTGACACAGCAGTTGCAGTACCCACAAAAAAGCCAGTGACTCCTGGACCTCCACCTCCAAAATTGGAATTATCTACAGATGAGCCTTATCTGTGAAAATGTATAGGAGATATTTACTGTGACTGTGTATTCTAAGAACAATGGCCTCATTACTAAACAATTTGTGTAAATATACTCCAGTGGATGAAACCTTTTTGTTTCCTTGCTTGTTTTCTTTCCTATAGAGATAACTAAACTTATTAAAATTATATCACAGAGTTGGCAGTCTACCTATTATTTCCTTTTGAGACTTGGGAGTGTCTTCAATAAGTTTACAATGTTCAGCTACATTGTGCTTGTGACGGTAGTAAATGTCTCTGGGATGAAAGACAGACACTATTCCTTTTGTGTTTTGGTCACCTTGTGCCCCTTATTGGTGCAGGGTATGTTGAATGTATTTCTCATCTGTGCCTCTCCCCTCCCCCATTCTCCTGTCCTCCTCAATCTCCCATCAGCCCTTGCTACTGTCTGACCCCACACTTGCTTGTACTATAGTGCTCTATGTACCCTAGTGTATGTAAATAAGGCTGTTGAGGGGTTAAATGTGTGTGCTATGTCTATTAGAGTTAGTTGTTGTTTTTACCTTCACCAAGTGTCGTCTGGTGTTTAGTCCAAGGTGGAAAAGGCCCTCAGTGATCCCAGTCAAGACTTGGCAACTGGGTCTGAAGTCCTTCAGGGTCCCTGATAGTTACAAGGAAGCGGACATGGTGGAGGTACTCGGTTGTAGTACTGGAGCTCCGTCACAGTGCTCACATGGTGTGAATGCACAAAACCAAAAGAAACATTGTTTCGGACATGTAATTATTTTTTTCTAATTTGGTTTTTAATATGGTATGTTCAAGTCTCAATATTTCTACAATTAATCAGGACTAAATGTTACTCACCACCAAAAATACTTGCAAACCAAGTGTTTATTTTTATATTTATTGCATGAACAACACATGCTCCTTCCTCCCCTTGCACGGTATAGCAACCACAGAGCCTCTCTCTCCGTTTCCTCTATCTATCTGTGGTGCACTGTCTTGCACCGAGCTGGAGCAGTATGTGCAAGCTAAAAGATAAGAGTGACTTTGACAAGGGCCAAATTAGTGATGGCTAGACGACTGGATCAGATCACCTCCAAAACGGAAAGTCTTGTGGGGTGTTCCTGGTATGCAGTGGTTAGTAACATACAGAACACAGGTTCCACCAAATAAAATAGGGCAGATAAAGAAATAATAAAACAGTCCAAAAGTCTTTACTAGTGACTTTGATTCCTACATGGCTTGATTCTTCGTCGGTGGGTACATGTAAAAAAAGAGGGAACCAGTAGTGTAGTAGTTATCACAAAGGGTAGATAACAAACAACAGAGTGCATGAGTGCCCACTCACACGGTCTAGAGCAGGCATCGGTAACCTTTGGCACTCCAGATGTTTTGGAGTACACATTCCATGATGCTTTGCCAGCATTATGGGAGATGTAGTCCACAACATCAGGAGTGCCAAAGGTTGCTTACCCCTGGTCTAGAGCTTTCATACAGGCTCTGGTAATAGCAGCGTATACTGGTATAATCTCCACTAGTGGATATAGGTGTTGTCTGGGTGACTCCAGTGATTCTCAATAAGGAAAATGGAATGACAAAAAAAAACTCCCAATAGTGCAGTATTGCCAGTGTAAAGTGAATATTGTGCAAATTAATAATAGGAAATATGCTCACAAGCAAAAAGATTTCATCTAAAGCTCAACATTTCAGGCCTAAGGCTGTACAATCCCCACCTAAGAATATTTACAATTTCCTTAGCAGCATAGATGTATACAGGGAGTGCAGAATTATTAGGCAAGTTGTATTTTTGAGGATTAATTTTATTATTGAACAACAACCATGTTCTCAATGAACCCAAAAAACTCATTAATATCAAAGCTGAATATTTTTGGAAGTAGTTTTTAGTTTGTTTTTAGTTTTAGCTATGTTAGGGGGATATCTGTGTGTGCAGGTGACTATTACTGTGCATAATTATTAGGCAACTTAACAAAAAACAAATATATACCCATTTCAATTATTTATTATTACCAGTGAAACCAATATAACATCTCAACATTCACAAATATACATTTCTGACATTCAAAAACAAAACAAAAACGGGGCGTGGCCAGCCGTGCAACTGAGCAGACGTGTTTGCAGGGAGCTCCTGCTAAACACACCGAAAATACCCCTAAAAACGCCACAAAAAATACACAGCTCACCCCACGACCAAGACAGGGGTGACACTGAACCCCCTAGAGAGAGATGGGGCGCAAGCACCGCAAATTGCAGGCAGCGGAGGCTTCTAAACTTCCAGATATCAGGAGGTCATTCGATAGGCCGCAGCAGACAGCGCAGCCTAAGATGGTGCCTGCCAGACCTCGAGGATCCAGTGAGTCAGAGACGTCCCCAGATGAAGAGGGCTCGATGTCCACACGGGCCCTCAGCAGAGTTTACCAGAGAGAGGACTCTGACTCAGACACGTCGCCCTCCACCAAGGGAGACATTAAGAGGCTCCTGCTCGAGCTTCGGGGGGTCTGGAAGAAGGACCTAGATGGGGTGCGAGGAGAGCTGGGCGGCATCATGACCAGGCTGGGAGCAGTCGAGACAAGAGAGAAAGAAAGGGACACAACCCTCACAGAGACCCAAGCTCACATAACAGATCTCTCCCAACAGCTCCAGCGACTCACCCGGGCCGTCACTACAATGGAGGCTAGGCACCGAAAGAAAAACATACGAATCAGAGGGGTGCCAGAGACGGTGGGACCAGAGTCTGCTCTGGATTTTGCCAATAAAATGGCAGCTGTACTAGAGGTTAGAGGAGAGGGTGGGCTGCCGCCCGTGTCCCATGCGTTCCGCATACGGAAGGCTGCAACAGCCCCTTTGGACACCCCCAGGGATATCATCGCGGTCACCCGGAGCCAGGCAGTGAAGACAGCGATGCTGACCAGCTCCCGGAGCACACCCCTCATAGCTGTCGAAAACTGCCAAGTAAGAATCTTTGATGACATACCCTTCGCTGTCCTGCTGGAGAGACGCAGATTCATGCTAGTCACCAAACTCCTCAGAGACCACGGAGTCAGGTATAGATGGGGTGCATCAGGTATCCTGGTGGTACCACACGGAGACGCAGTGTTGACGCTGTCCGCGGCAGAGGATCCGGCGGCCTTCCTAGAGAAGCTCCAATTATCACAGCCACCGCCCGCAGTGCCCACGGAGCACGGGACTTTACCAACCGACACCCACACCACCGAGAGGGAAGAAAACCCTGGCACAGCAACAGTGAAACGACGGTCACTACATCAGCGCCCTCCATAGGTCGGGTAACCCTGAAGGGAGGCAGCTGCTAAGAAACCTGACAGGCCAGAACAGAGGCCCAAAAGAGACTTAACTCCGGCTGCGCAACAAGAGACTAACCTTAAACAATTTATTTATTTTTATTTTTTTTCTGTGTTTTTGTTGTGTTTTTTTTTTTTTTTTCGGGGAGGTGGGATCTTACTATTTTAATCCCTCAGCTGATGCTCCCACGGTTGTCTTCACTATTAACCATTTCAGATCCACAGAGAGACGCTTTTACTTAATGTGTACTATTAGCACTGTTGACTAGAATTGTACTTATGTGACTTAACCCCATAAGAGGTAATTATATATTCTACTGCAAAGCCTTATACACGATGCACTGGAGCTACCTCCGAGTGCGGTTAACGGATCTGCCCTAACACCACACGAGCTACCAATGTGTTCTACCACTATGTTCACTTAAATGTTCTAAAAGTTACCTACATGTCTTAACAATACGTGCGTATTACAATTACACGAGCCGCTAGTGCCCTACCAATATGCACTACTTTTAACTTCGCAAGAGTCCCTCGGATGAAGTACCACAATAGTCATCCTCTAAACTCATGAGGGAGGTCATTATGCTTCCCACTTCTTAATTCCTACACCCACCTGAGAGGGCGCACCAAGATTGTCTTATAGTTATTACCATTTAATGTCATGTTTACTCCTTACTCTTATGCATTGAATGACTGTATATTACTATTCAAACCAGTGGAGATTTCTCCACAACAAAAATAAAGAATTATAAAAAAAAAAAAAAATATAGCCACCTTTCTTTGCAAGGACACTCAAAATCCTGCCATCGATGGATTCTGTCAGTGTTTTGATCTGTTCACCATCAACATTGCGTGCAGCAGCAACCACAGCCTCCCAGACACTGTTCAGAGAGGTGTACTGTTTTCCCTCCTTGTAAATCTCACATTTGATGATGGACCACAGGTTCTCAATGGGGTTCAGATCAGGTGAACAAGGAGGCCATGTCATTAGATTTTCTTCTTTTATACCCTTTCTTGCCAGCCACGCTGTGGAGTACTTGGACGCGTGTGATGGAGCATTGTCCTGCATGAAAATCATGTTTTTCTTGAAGGATGCAGACTTCTTCCTGTACCACTGCTTGAAGAAGGTGTCTTCCAGGAACTGGCAGTAGGACTGGGAGTTGAGCTTGACTCCATCCTCAACCCGAAAAGGCCCCACAAGCTCATCTTTGATGATACCAGCCCAAACCAGTACTCCACCTCCACCTTGCTGGCGTCTGAGTCGGACTGGAGCTCTCTGCCCTTTACCAATCCAGCCACGGGCCCATCCATCTGGCCCATCAAGACTCACTCTCATTTCATCAGTCCATAAAACCTTAGAAAAATCAGTCTTGAGATATTTCTTGGCCCAGTCTTGACGTTTCAGCTTGTGTGTCTTGTTCAGTGGTGGTCGTCTTTCAGCCTTTCTTACCTTGGCCATGTCTCTGAGTATTGCACACCTTGTGCTTTTGGGCACTCCAGTGATGTTGCAGCTCTGAAATATGGCCAAACTGGTGGCAAGTGGCATCGTGGCAGCTGCACGCTTGACTTTTCTCAGTTCATGGGCAGTTATTTTGCGCCTTGGTTTTTCCACACGCTTCTTGCGACCCTGTTGACTATTTTGAATGAAACGCTTGATTGTTCGATGATCACGCTTCAGAAGCTTTGCAATTTTAAGAGTGCTGCATCCCTCTGCAAGATATCTCACTATTTTTGACTTTTCTGAGCCTGTCAAGTCCTTCTTTTGACCCATTTTGCCAAAGGAAAGGAAGTTGCCTAATAATTATGCACACCTGATATAGGGTGTTGATGTCATTAGACCACACCCCTTCTCATTACAGAGATGCACATCACCTAATATGCTTAATTGGTAGTAGGCTTTCGAGCCTATACAGCTTGGAGTAAGACAACATGCATAAAGAGGATGATGTGGTCAAAATACTCATTTGCCTAATAATTCTGCACTCCCTGTATGGAAGAGAAAAATACAGTATATAGTGCTCTCTGTGATGACATATATGGCAATAAAAGCTAAAAAAAAAAAACATACTCTCATTTCCTAGAGCGATAAAAGTACTCAGTTCTGCCAGTGTAGGTGGTACAATCTCCACCAAGGAGCTGATGTCTCAATTCCAAGGTAGTGTGCTTTACAAAATGTGCCAGGAACAAAATCGATATTAAAAATTTTTTGTCAGGTTCGGTATTGAAGTGAACCAAATAATTTTATTGTAAAACCGCTAAAAACAAAATGATATTAACAATCCACAACATGTTTCACCTATAATAGATATTTTTTTCAAGTGGGATAAGGAAGTACCTTGCTAAAAGACTTATATAGGGAAAGCTTAGTTTGAGAATGGCGGTATGATGATGTCATGAACACAGGACAGTACTGATGCCGTGGTCTTGTACACAGAAACATATACACATAATATAGCAAGTTTGCAATAAAGATATTCCATGGAAGGAATCAATGATAGAATAACATTTAGCATCGAAGAGAAAATGGAGCGAGCATAAAAAGATACTGGTTATGGTCTCATGACGCATATCAAAAAGACACATCATGTGACCAAATTAGGAAGAAATGGAGCCCGTGTCAAAAAGAAAAAACAAGAAAAGACCAATCACTGGGTACCCCAGGGCAACACCATGGGGAAAATACAATGCTAAAAGGGAAACTATGTTTTACTGGCACTACAGCTTACCCCTTCCTTGCGGCCCACCCCGTGGTGCAGTAGGGGTTATCTGTCACTCAACTGGGTCCGCCTTCACTTCTCCGCCATGCATAGTGTGAGGACGTCCAGCGCCAGGCTTCCACAAGTCGCATAACAGCCCGGAAGTCCCTCTAGTGGCAGTCTGATAGCCACTAGAGGAGTAGTAAACTTTAAAGGTAATTACTGCATTAAAAACTGCAATTATTACCTTTGCATGGTTAAGGGACCTGGAACAGTGCACCCAAACTACTTCAATGGGAAGTGGTCTGGGTGCCTGTAGTGTCCTTTTAAGATTGAAGAAAAAAAAAAAAAAAATATATATATATATATATATATATATCACTTCAAAAATATAATAAAACTAAATAAATATAAAGAGAAGAAATACGTATATTAAAAATAAATAAGGTAAAGGAAATTATACTAATCAAATTTTGCATTAAGACCCTCCAGTTCCAGAGTTTGCTAATTAAAAACCCAGTTTATCTCACATCTGAGTACATTCTTTTTATGTTTCCACCTCTCCGGGATGTGTCTGGATCCCAATAACTTCTAAAAGTTTAGGATTCTTATTATGTATACTAAACTGTTTTGACAAAGAATGATTTTTGGAAACCCTTAGTTATATTTTCACAATGTTCAGCTGTACAGGTTTTTAGGCACCTTCATGTCATACATACATATTGAAGTCCACATGGGCATTCTAGGAGATATAAAGGATAATTGTTTCATACTTACCGTAATTTTCTTTTCCTGATAATTATTCATGGCAGCATTTACTCATAGGGTTAGCTCCTCCCCTTACAACAGAAAGGACACCAAATAGAACTCTGAAACTGGTATAAATAGATCCTCCCCCTTCCCATCAGGCAGTCTTTGTAACTAGCTTCACATCTTATAGTATATGGGTGGGAACGTAATGCTGCCATGAATAATGATCAGAAAAATAAAATTACGGTAAGTATGAAACAATTTTCCACTTTCCTGACCATTATTCATGGCAGCATTTACTCATGGGGAATACCCAAGCAGTATATATCAAGGGAGGACAGAGTTCAAAAACAGCTAATAGCTATAAAACCATTATTGAGCTGTATAAATCTTAGAAGACTTTTTACAAAAGCCAAACAAGAATCAATAGGAAATTGTCATAAAATCTGCTCAGACAAGATCATTTTCTCTAGAGGCTGCAAGGTCAGCGACCTCCTGGCATTCAATATCTGAAATATCCTGAATAGATATAGTCAGATAGGAATTAAGGCCATGATAGCATAAGCTAGAGAAGGATAATGTCATTCTGATTTAAAACCGAATTGATATCATCAAATCAGAACCTCGACAAAGGGATAACTTCCAGAGATCATACTGGAACAAGCAGATAATGTTGGATGAGAACGGACACACCATGCTATTAAACACGGGGAGAATTACACTGAGAATCCTACTACTTTCTGGATGTATTTATTAAATACGATTCACACCGCTTCCTCTTGCCTTATGAACTACTTACCTGAAGATACAGGAACAAATCAATTTCTGCCTGTCAGAGAGAGGCAGAGCCTAGTAGAGAAATAAGAGTCTGTTATTAAAACACTGCAACAATGACCCGATGTTGCAAAATTCAGATTCACAACAATACCTCACACAGTGGATGAATTGATACAGCAATGATCAGTCACAGGAGAGGAATAAACTAATAACATTACTAGGCAAAGGCAAGAAGAATAATATACAAATTAGTTGAGGAAAAAAATAAATATCAGCAGGGCCGTCTTTAACGCGGGGCAAACGGGGCAGCTGCCCCGGGCCCAGTTTCTCTTGGGGGGCCCGAGGCACCTGCCCCGTGGGCCCCGCTGCCCTCATCAATTTATTTTTTTCCCGTCCCACCGGGTGGCCCATGCACTTAGGGCAGTGGCGTACATACCAGGGTCGCGGCTGCGACCCTGGTATGCACCCACAGGGCCAGCGTCTTCCCCTGGGGGGCCCAGGAGGCGGCCACCCCAGGGCCCCCCGATGCTGGCCCTGCTGACCCCGGCGGGCGGGTGGCCGGTCGGGCAGGAAGGCGGGCGCGCGAGGGAGCACTCAGTGCTTCCTCTTCAGCTCCCTCGCGCACCGCACTGATACCGGAGCCGGCGCGAGGGAGCTGAAGAGGAAGCGCTGAGTGCTCCCTCGCGCGCCCGCCTTCCTGCCCGACCGGCTACCTGCCCGCCGGGGTCAGCAGCACCACTGGACCCCAGGGAATCCCCCCAGCACTCCAAAAGGTAAGGAGGCTGGGGGGATTACATTTAAAAAAAAAATGTGTGTTTATGTGTTTGTGTGTTAGTGTATGTGTGTGTTAGT